TCACAGGTGAGATTGCAGATTTGGCAGAAAAGAAAACAAATTTTTCGTTGTTGAAAATGACTTTGGGATAATTCTGTTGTTCACACGTGATACAAGTGACTGCACAGTATGTGTTGTTGTAAATTCACTGTACATGTTTACATACTTTAATTTACAATTATTACCCAGTACATCGGGATTAGAAAACTACTTTCTAAACAAAAATCTGAACCTACTTAGACACCCAAACGGAGAGTTGCTTCATTGTATTGTTTTAGTTAAAATCCATTTCTAAACATATGGCAATTTGCAATTCTGGCCCTTCACAACTGTTTTTCATTCATGCTAAATTAAGTTGTCCCTTGTTGACTTGTTGTTGCACTTTCTACTGTTCTGCACAGATGAAGTCGATGTGAGCACAGAGATGTAGAGCAAAGATTGATGTTGAAATAAAAACCACAGAACAAGTCGAAATATGAACATTTCAACACAAAGACCTACTGTAGGTGTCAAAATGAACCATGACAGGCTATGTTTCTTCCTGTTTTGTGGAAGGTTGACATATATTTTAACCCATGCAGAGAGCTGAGAAGACATATGCTGCCTTCTGCAGCAGTTTTGGGATAAATCGCCTTACTCAGTGGCACATATTTTTTTCCCAGGCACTGAAACTCATGACAATGAAAGCTTATTCCAACACCACAGATCATTTAGTAATAAACTTCTTTAAATGCTTCCTGTTTTTCCTCATCTAGAGCGTCACTGGGTTTGGAAGACAGATGATAGAGCAAACCAAACAGCTGGTGGAGTCCAAGTACACCATTTCCAACGGTTACCAAGGTGACGCCAAGGTGAGGAACACATGTACCTGTGCCACATCATTACTGACCCAAACGCAACCCAAAGTTTCCGTTTGAGCACTTAGGCTCAGTGTATGAATGTGTGTGACTGGTGAATGCAGATGTAGTGTAAAAGCGCTTTGAGTGGTCGAGAAGACTAGAAAGGCGCTACACAAGTACGGAGCATTTACAACTCTTCCTCTTTGCCCCTCTTTTAGTCTTTTAGTTTAGTTAACACATAAGCCTTATTTATATCAAGAAATACTGTGCATGAGTTGACCAAAGGTATGGAACCTTCTACGTGATGTTTCTGATGGACCCCCCTTTGTGTGTGGTGTTGATGTTGTTTTTGTCATTTAAAGGTAATTTATGGGGACACGGACTCCGTCATGGTTAAGCTTGGAGTGGCCACAGTGAGGGAGGCCATGGATATCGGGAAGGAGGCAGCAGAGTGGGTGTCGTCCCATTTCACACCGCCCATAAAACTGGAGTTTGAGAAGGTACTATTTGTGTCCTCTTGATTTATCGAAGCACTTGTCCCAGTGTCTGTGATTCTATTTTAATCGGGATAGTTTGAGTGGGTGGAGGCGTCTGAGTACTGGAGTAACGGGAGCATGTAGAAGAGAATTAACACCACCATGACTGATATCCTCGTGTAGTATGTAGAGGAACAATTGTTGGCTGAAACAGAGTTGAGGATTTAAACTGGACAGGATAAGATAGACATGCAAACGTACCTCTGGCCGAAGTCTGCCTCTGAGAGTCAGACAGTTTCACATTGTAGAGACCCCTGGAGAGTTTGAGCGTCCTCTCAGCTAATGAGCGCTTGTTTTTGTCACTTCCGCAGGTGTACTACCCATACCTGCTGATCAATAAGAAGCGCTATGCAGGCCTCTATTTCTCCTCCAGTGCAGACACGCATGAGAAGATGGACTGTAAAGGCATTGAGACTGTTCGCAGAGACAACTGCCCTCTGGTGGCCAACCTTATCAACACCTGTCTGCAGAGAATCCTCATAGACAGGTACACACACACACACACACACACACACACACACACACACACACACACACACACACACACACACACACACACACACACACACACACACTGTATATAATTGATAATTCATTATCAATTAATTTTGTTATGACTTCTGGTGATTTCATGTTTTTTTTCATAATTTCCCCTTTCATTTGGACATACTGAATAAAACACAATAATTGATGAAACAACGTGAACTTCTTACCTTTTTAAACCAACAATTTTATCTGATTTTTTTGTTTCCCAAAAAGTAAAAACCAAAGCCCACTTTCTGTCTCATGGCCTGGTTGAATATTAACCCCATGATGAGCTTTTATGAATCTGTTGTGAAAGTAATCACAGCTGGTGTGATGTTTTGTCAGGGATCCTCAGGGTGCTGTGGCTCATGCTAAAGAAGTGATCTCAGACCTGCTGTGCAACCGCATCGACATCAGCCAGCTGGTCATCACCAAGGAGCTAACGCGCACTGCCCAGGAGTACGCTGGCAAACAGGCGCACGTGGAGCTGGCAGAGAGGTCTGGTTAACCGGACACTGAGACATCTTACTTCAAAGCATACTCCAAGGTTAAATGTTTGCGAGGGTGTGTTTGTGTGTGTGACGTAGGTAAACTAACAATTTTAATTCCGATGTTTCACAGAATGAGGAAAAGGGATGCCGGCAGCGCCCCCAACCTTGGAGACAGAGTTCCTTACGTCATCATCAAGGCTGCAAAGGGAGTAGCAGCATACATGAAGTCAGAGGTCTGTAGTGTTGTTTTTGATTGTCTGTAAATAAGCATGCTCGGTTAACCTTTTTTCTTTTTAATACATATTTAATCCCGATGATAATCCTGATCCCTCCACTTGTTGCTTTAGGACCCGATCTATGTTCTGGAGAACACCATTCCCATCGACACACAATACTACCTGGAGCAGCAGCTGTCCAAACCGCTGCTGAGAATATTTGAGCCCATCCTGGGAGAGAGCAAGGCAGAGAGCATCCTGCTCAGTAAGTCTACAAACTCACACACATCATAGTCTTGTTTATTACAATTTAGGCAATGATCTTGACACTCTTATCATCCTCAGTGGCTTATTTACATATTTATGAAATGATGAGTTGAGGAATCTGTAGATTAGTTCCTTACAACTTTAAGATATCACTTTTGACATCTGTCATTATTCTTGATATTTTCAAGTGTAACTTTAAATTACTAAACAAATATATTATATAATTGTAATTAATATAATTGTTTTCCTTCATGGATTATACACCCATGTTTTCCTCTCTTCAGCGGTGCACCGATTTAATGTGAAACTTAAGGGCCACCTGGAATCGTTTCCGCGTGCTACCTTTCTTCATAACTTGTACTCCTTTTCTGTTATTTTTGTTAATAGTTTGTATCGAGTTTAACTCAACTGTGCGTGAGTTCACGTTCACAAAACGAATCCATCCTCAAAGTGTCTTGGGTGCATTTACACCTTTACTTTCATGTGCTCAAGCACTATCCAGTGCAGTCAGCTCACCAGGTGTGAATGGCCCGTCTGTGTATCATATACAGAAATCTAATGGGTCAAATGTAACAGTGCATACATCGTAACAACTAAAGCAAGTGTTAGTTAACACACATGACACATGAGTGTCATTGTATCTTCACAAGCTTTAAATCCTAACGTTGCTTGATTTTCTGGTGTCTTTCAGAGGGTGACCACACACGCTGTAAAACTGTGTTGACCTCGAAGATCGGAGGTCTCATGGCATTTGCTCAGAAGAGGAGCACCTGTATCGGCTGCAAAGCTGTGCTCAAGACAGACGGTGTGTGCTCAGAAAATCACGATTTTCTTTTTTTGTTAATTTGATATCCACTTAACGAGGTTGGGTGCCACTGTTTTGAGTGGGAGCTTCATATGTGTGACGTCTAACGTGTGTCATTGCAGCGGCTGTGTGCGATTTCTGTAAGAAGAAGGAGTCTGAACTGTACCAAAAGGAGGTAGGCAAGATGACAGATGTCTTTTTAATATGATGGTTTTCTTTACTAATAGGACTAAGTTGAGTTTTTTATTTTTTATTTTAGTTTGGTTCTCTTATTTTTAAGCAATATCTGTATATTAATCACACCACTGCCCTCTAGTGGAGCTCAGGGTATTCATAACAGGTTTAAATATGAAATTAGTCTCATTTCTCATTAACTTTTGGGCTGCTATCTTTCTTAAGTCACTAGTGCAGTAAGCACAGTTTTTAATTTGCTATTGTAAGAATTAAGGACTTAATTTCTGATAACAAACATGTCAAATGAGTTAGTAACATCTTGGTTGTTTATTAATTACAGATCTTTCACATGAACACACTGGAGGAGCGTTTCTCTCGCCTGTGGACTCAGTGTCAGCGTTGTCAAGGCTCCCTCCACGAGGATGTGCTCTGTACCAGGTATGTATTGATTATAACTGTTTACTACAGCTGAGCACACAGTGGCTGTCCAGTAACACTGTCCCTCCTGACTTCTCTGCAGCCGGGATTGCCCCATCTTTTACATGAGGAAGAAGGTCCAGAAAGATTTGGATGACCAGAGCAAGCTGGTGTCGCGCTTTGGATGGTGAGAGGCGCACTCTCCTTTTCCTTATGTGCCTCGTTTGAGATGGACTTTTTTTCCCCTTGTTTTTTTTGCTGCTTGTAAAAATACATATATATCACACTATTTCTATGTTTTCTAATATCAATTAAATGAGTTTTTTTTGTAAAATAAAATTAAAAAGAAGTCTATTTCATTTGGGCTGGAAAAAAAAAAAAAATCAAGTACAGTACATACAGGATGCTGAACCACACTGCTGTTAAACACATCAGACGGTAAGTGTACGTGACTGTGTGTAAAGAGGTTTACAACGTGTGAATCTACAAAGTCTTATCAAAGCAAAAGTGTACAGATCAACGGAAATGAAAAGAGGAAGTTTGCTGCCGTCCTCTTCAGTGTTATTGTCTCTGTCAAACCTCAAACCACAGCTCTTCCTCGCCACTGATTTGGTACTTCAGAACAAAACTTTTGATGGCACTTTTGAGGTCTGTATTATCAACACACCACATTCTTCACCGGGTTTGTGTTTGAAATCTCTTAAACTATACCAGTAAAGATCCATCTTGGATAAACAAAACGGACAAGACAATAAAGGTTTAAGACATTTACTTGTTCTTTACAGCAGAGTGCATTAAAAATTCAGCTGTCAGTCAGAGACTTGTTTGGCTCAAGTATATTTTTTGAGTTGCTCTATATTTTAACAATGTAACTACATGAAGTCCAGATCATGAGACGGGCATTTGGAAGCTGCCGGTTTGACACCATCACACAGTGGTAATCCTTCATGTATGGAATCACCTATTAGCCGGATGCATCTAGAGTTAGCTCATTGAACACTGATATAACTTTAGCAAATATATGGGTGGCAGGTTCTTAATACAAATGTAGGGGAAAGCTGTTGTAATGCTACAAAAACAGAAATATAACAATCCATTACACTTAGGGTGATGTAATTATCAAAGAAGACAAACACTGCTTAAAAAAAAGCCCTATGATCAGATAACTGCTGCTGTGTCCGAGCTCTGGAGATTTCCCACCGATTAAACCACTGGCTGCAGCATCAGTGCGGTTTTAATGTGTACCACAGAGATGTTTGTACATGCTACATACTCTGGTGCAGTGTGCTGGAGCGTAAACAGTGCCTGGACAGAGTGACCTGACACTGGGACTGACCTATAAATTGCATTAAAAGTGGACTTTGGAGTACAGTGTGACTGTGTGGAACGAAAAGCAGGGTGGACACTTCAAACAAGTTAATGATGGTGTGAAGTGAAGGGCACAGGCATCACATCTCAACCAATCATTTGAAACAGCTCTTGGCCTTGTTATTCCTCAGTTCCTCAAAACACTATATTCCTGAGTAAACTTTTAAAATGGCACCAACTAATCCCAAATTCTACAATAAACATAACAGGAAATTAATAAAGTGCACCTCGGAGGCTGGAACACAACTCTAAGGCTTTGTTGCTGTGGGGGGCCTATCTTAAGACAGCTGTTCCACTGAAATATGGACATACGGAGAAAAATAAAAAAGCAGATACTTCTGTTTCAAGCCCGGAGGACACACTAACCTATTAAAAAGTAATCTGTCTGGAAGCAAAATGTTTTCACAGTAAAACAGTATCCTCGTCAATATGACACCGTTTTCATTTTATTTGCTGGACTTCATTTCAATTTCACCACGCTAAACGATTTGTTGAGTACTAAAATATTTTTGGAGACGTAACAGTGCAAAGTGCAGTGAAGCACCACTGTGAACCCTCGACCCCTGAATAGTCAACAGGAGCTGAGTGTAAAAACACTGGCCGGAAAATGACAACTAGAAAAAAGAGAATTAAATTCTCATTTAGTTTCGTCTTTCTACCACAGAAAAAGTTAAAGAAAATATAAACTCAACTTAAAACTGCAGTTTCGAGATGTTTCTAGATCATCAAAACAAAAATCAAATGAATTCACAGCGTTAACTGAACACTGCACAGTGGATGGATGAATGCACAATCTTGTGGTCGCATACTTTTCAGTGGAAACTGACAGCAGTAGAAAATGGATTTTGCCACGTCTGCTTCCCTGTCCCCGGAGCTGTGCTAGACGTCTTCACCGTGACAGAGGAGGTGCAGTGTGTGAAGAGGAGCATGAAACAAGTACGGGATGCTTGTGTGTGTGTGGTTTGCTATAGTATTATGCAACGTCTCTGAGTGTTCTTCTTGCTCTTCTTGTTGCTACGGTTGGTCTCTTTATATCTTCTAATCTCCCGCACTAGTGAATAGAAAGCCTCCTCCACGCCCTGCAAGACAGAGACAGAAAAATGTCACACACAATGTTGAGATTAAAGTTTGTTTACTGATATATATTTTTTATTTATGTCTTTATTTGCAGAAGGTACTCTAGGCCCATGAATGCATCAGTGCAAACTAAATGCACGTGTTACGGTCTTTGCTGCGTACCTGTCTGGTTTTGGCAGAGGTCTCGACAAACGGCACCCCATAGCTTCGTGCAAGCTCCTGCGCCTGCCGCGTCTCCACCGTGCGGGTACCCAGGTCGCTCTTGTTCCCCACCAGCACCATGGGGACGCTGTCACTGTCCTTCACCCTGTTGATCTGCTCTCTGAGGAAGAGGCACAAGGCAACACCAACAAGTTAGCAGAAGGACTGAGTTGATACTTTGCAAACAGAATAATGCTATCACTCATTTTTACACTGCAGGAGAGGTCTTTGCAACACTTCAGTTTTCTAGTGTACAAACGGCCACACAGAACTTCTAACCACACTCAGATATGGCTTAGAGATAATTAGTGCAGTTCCTGCTAACCAGGAAGTAGCCTTTGTGGTGCTAGACAGTCTGAACCCGCACTGTACTCTATACACAGCTGTATTACACACTGTTGAAGTGGACCATTAGTCCTTCAACTTGTTTCGACTTCTTCCTCCAGCTGTGTTTTAATATTGGTGCCAGTCCGTGGTGGTGTGTGCACGGCAGGCCACGGGCCACATCTTGTACCTGTAGAGGTGAACGTCCTCGAAGGACTTGATGTTGTTGATGGCAAACACACAGAGGAAGCCCTCCCCTGTCCTCATGTACTGATCCCGCATGGCGCTGTACTCCTCCTGACCTGCCGTGTCCAGGATGTCCAACAGACACGTCTCTCCATCAATCACCACCTGTTTTCTGTACGAGTCCTGTAAACACAGCACTGACATGATCACATAGGCAGTACCACACACGTCTGCCAAGAAATCCGACAGTGGATTGCATCATATTAATCCCTGTGTTGTTTTGTTGTTTTTCATGCTGCTGTGTCTTGTAGCAACAAGACCTTGCAGAACAGAATGTTTTGTGGTGAACTTGCAGAAACCTGAATATTTCTTAAACATTAACTATGAAATTATGTTACTGACAGCTTGACATATTCAACACCACCTGAGAGTAGAGATTTACAACCAGCTTGTGGTTTTTAAGGCAACAATGTTAGAGACCAAAGAGATGATGTGGCAGAATTAAAAGCTTTGATTTCTGTTAGTGGAAATTATTTGACTCTAATGAGGGTTTACAGGAGAGCCGTTTGCTGTAATGGGGTTTAACCAGGTATTATCTGTTTCACAAGGACTCGCAACACTGCAGAAAGCTCCCTTTGTTTAATTAGTTTAGAAAGAGTACAACATTTCGAGCCCAGGTTGGCTCTTCACTAAGTACAATTTTAAATCAACTTTTAGAGGGCTCTGGCAGATTTTCACAGGTTTCTGGCTGATGGTGCTGTAGATCTGTGACAGCAAATATTGTGTTTTATAGTGTACCGCTATGCTTACTGATGTTTTAACCCGCTGCATTTATTGGACAGCTATTGTTACTATTTAGTTTGCAGGCAAAGATTTTCAGATACAAAACATATATTAGTTCATAAAATATGATGAAATGAGCTTCGACCAGCTAACATTAAACTGCTTCTAATAGTTTTAAGGATGAGTAATAATAATCCTATAATATAATATATAATAGTATGACAGGGCCATTCTGCTGCAGAATGAATACGTTTGATATTTAAGTACATTTTCTTGCTAATGCTTTTAATGGAGGACTATAAGGTCACATTTCTGTAGGGCTACACTTAAGTTAGCTAGTTACTTATTGTGTCATGCACATGCAAGTGCACAGCCCATATAAAGACACCAACACACTGTTGCACAGGTGAAACATTTGAGGGGATTAACACGACAGGTTAAATATCACATTAAATTGCAAATGATCTTCTGCCCCAAACATCCTGTGCATTAATGCCCACTCATCGAAACCATAAAAGCCAGATTTACTACTTCTTTATCTGTCAAAATGTGAACCACTTTCGGCTATATTACCACTGAACACAGCAAACATGACCGTGGACAGTGTGTCTAAATGGTCTGTTTCTCACCTCGATGGTTGGATCATACTCATCAACGAAGTGGTTCTGGATGAGCTGGATGGTGAGCGCGCTCTTCCCCACACCTCCTGCCCCGACCACCACAAGTTTGTACTCGGTCATGCCTGGAAAGGATTGAGACAGCGATGTAGCTTCGGAAGAGCCGAGTAGCAGGTGAACGTGCTCAAATCAAACCGGTTGATTTTGCCCTCTTCCTCTCTGCACCGACATGGCGAAGAGAGTGACCCAGATTTACTATCCGTTGACGTAAGTTGTCTCTACGGTAAGTCTTTCATATCACTCCCATGAAGGAGTGCCGGTGGTAAAAGTGGGAAGTGTTTAAACGCACTTACCTTTGTGTGAGCTGTAACAGTTGGAACAGATTGTGAAGCGATCGCTGAGTTTACGAATGGATGATTGAGATTAGCTTGCTACATAACGTTAGCCTGAGACGAGTTCCTCATTCAAAACACTTGTAGACAAACTTCAAGGTCTGCCCGCTTCTTGTTTTTAAGACTTGAAATTATCTGTCAAATTGTGAACCACAGATCTGGTGGTGGTGCTGCTAGTAAAAACCTAACTTCGTGTTATAAATTAAAAGCCTGCATTCGCGCAAGTTCCTATACAGTCTCCATTGAGGTTCATAGTAAAGCAGAGCGATTTCACGTTAATCCCCTCGTCAAACAACCAATGAGCGGGCAGCAGACAGACAGACGTCGCAACGATCCAATCACAGTGGAGTTTCAGCTCATAACCCCGCCTATAGCTAGCAAATCTGTCCATTCACGAACAGGAGTAGCCCTAATTGGGCGTGGCCTTCCGGCTAACTTCTTTCTCTCACAGATGTTTCTTCTCAACTCCCTTCAGTGGGCAATTCCGATCACTAAGGGTACTTAGTATTCATACTCATGTCAGTACTAATTAAGTCTGTATCATCAAGCAGTTCAAAACAATATGAACTTCTGCATCATAGTCTAATATACTCTGCAATAAATACTTTGTGAATGTTTGCCCACATTCATTTATAGTAAGACACCGGTCTCTTCTAATTATTTTATTTTGAAACATTTTACCGGAAGTGTTGGTATGGTGTTGTGTCTTCCTTGTCGCTACACTGTAGCTCACATGAGACCTGGGTGTAGTTAGAGTGAGTGTTCACTGCCTTCCAGTGGTCACAGCACAGAACTACAACACTATGTTCATGGCTAGTGCGCAATGGCAATCAGTATAGTAATAATCATTATGATATTGCTCTTATTATATTAACGAAGTAACCATCGTATTGTTATTAATAACGTTTATACTGATAGGAATATTAATTTTGGTAATAAATGTATTATTTAGGAGCTGTTCTAACAAAGGGATCAGTTTACCCCTCTGGAGATGTTCTTATCAAAGCCGAAGCAGTTGACGGTTAACCTGAGTTTTTATGCAGTCTATGGTGTATTTAAAATCATGAGTTTGTGTTCAATGCCCTCTAGTGGTCACAGAGAGGGACTAAAACACTAAAATTAAAGCTATTAAGGCTATTGCGCAGCCTTATTGTGATGACAGTACAAGCTTTTATGGGTCAAGTCAGTAATAGTATGATTATTATAAATAACAACAGTAATATTAGTAGTGCTGATAGTCGTATTATTTAAAAAGGTTATAAGCAATATTTGTATAATAACAGTGGATCACATGACTACTAAGTGAAAGGTTTGCTCATATTAATGAACCTGCCTTTGCAGTTCCTGTCAGTTCTAAGAGTTTTGTAGTGTTTTTAATTATTGTTGTGGTAAAGACAATAAGTAAAGTTACTGTTATAGTTCACACTCACTTGGCAGCAGGCGGCTCTTTTTAGTTGATGACTAATTAACTGGTGAACATATTGGAGAGGGGTCTGCATACTACAGATGGACCCTTCTGACAGAGTGGAGCAAGTGAATATAGGACATTCAAAGGGTGGGGTTGCCAGACATAGACACACATTGGTGCTGATGTTGCTCCATGTGTTGTGGATGTGTATTAAGCCTATAATTAAGGTTGTTTATGTATGAGTATCTTTGTATATACATATACCTATATGTATATGTGTGTGTGTGTATGTTTATATGTCCTTTCTGTTGTTTATTTTTGATAACTCTATGATTGCTTGTGCTTCTTCCGTTCTAAGCTGTTCTTATCTTTGCTGTACTGTTCTATGATGTGCTGCTATGCATGGTGTTAGTGTCTTTTAATTTTGTTGTTCTGTAAAGCACTTTGGTCAGTCATTGGCTGCTATAAAATGTGCTATATAAATAAAAATGAACTTGAACTTGAACTAGAACAGGCAGTTTGGTAATAAATCCGCCATATTCATTTAAAAGATGACACAATGTTAGTTATTTTCACTGCTTGTTTCCAAAGTCCCCCCAAAATAAGTTATTACAGGTTTAAGAGCTTTTTTTTTATAACAACCAGTAAACCTCTAAAGATGTCCCCACCACATAATGAGCGAGTTTACTGCCATCTAGTGGTCTCAGTGAGGAGGTGCAACGCTGCATTTAATCCGTCAAGGAAGCGTCAACATGACACTGCTTTCACTTCCGGATAATTCTTTAAAAAAAAAGACCAGACTGAAGCGAAACGAACAGGAATTATTTTTTAATTATTAGGAAAAACACCGCTGATTGAAAGAGGCTCAACCGTGATGTTAAAAAAAAAACTGTCGGCGCACACACACTGAGCAGACACTGTGCCCCACCCTCTGGTTCGACATCCTCACTTCCCTTGTTTGTGACGTTCATGTTTCTCCCTCACTCTCCCACTGAGTGCATCTGCTCTCCTATCTAATCTTTGCCTAAAATCACAGAGATAATCCTGCATCCATCTGTCCTGAGAGAAAGACAGAGAACTGACATTGCTGTAATGATGTAAAAAATATATTCAGCATTAATTTAATGACTCATCATCCTGTAGGTGATAAAACCTGACTTTGTGATTGTGCTGAAATAGTGACATCATCTTAAATTGCTTAAATTTTATTATACACAAGGATATCTCACATATACATCTTTTATACATAGAATATGTTCCACATTTTTGCATGTTTACATAAGACAATTTCCTTTTCTTTTTTTTCACACTGATTCCCACCACCACCACACATTTCATCAAAAAGGAGGAGGACGACATTGGAACAGCCATAAACTGAGACAAAGAGAAACTTGATTAAATACACTGATACAACACTTAAAAATAAAATTGTTCACAGGAATACTCATTCGTGTCTTTTGGACGTCTCGCTCTAAACAAAATGGTAATTTGCTTTAATCACTTTTTAAAATAATTCATAGACATACCAACACATTTTACCATTACACCCTCATTTAAATCAAATACGTTATTTTTTTAACATTCCAGAAATGTATTTTTCTCTCATAAAGATGAGCTCTAACCACAAACCCTGAATCAGCAAAAGATAATTCGATTCTTGATCTTAAAAAGAGCTGTCTGCAAATGCATTAAAAAATGACTGTTGGCTTTACCTGTGAGTACACGCATAAAGTTGTGTTTGTGTGTGTGTGCATGGCTTTATCTGCTGCATCTGCAGGTGCAAAGAGTTGAACTGTGCAGCTTGTACAATACGACACTTCCACTCCTGTATGAGAATGGCAGCGTGCTCTCAGGAGAAGCACCTCTGGACTCTCCACTCCCGCACCCAGCTGTCAGTGCGGCAAGATGGAGAGGGTGCTGCTTCTTAAGGGCATGAGAGGAGCGGATGTGATTGGCCATGATTGTTACCAAACCTTCACATCTACCGCCATGTAGATACCAAATAGTGTGCCACCACTCCCGCTGCACACTGTGCATGGTGCACTTGACTGTACTTGCATGAAATTAGCTGTGTGTGTTTGTGTGTAAAAGGAAGAGAGGGATGGCGGAGTACTGCACTGCTGTGCCCATTAAATCATGCTCACCGCACAATTTTTCACCACCTGCACCCAACACAACAACACACACACACACACACACACACACACACACACACACACACACACACACACACACACACACACACACACACACACACACAGACTATCTGAAAAGCTCTGACCCACCAACTCAAACATGTCTGACACTGAGGTACTAAAAACGTGGAAACAGAACCAACAGAGAGGAGAAGACGGAGAACATCCTGTGTGATACAGGTGGGAAGAGGCAGCCACAGAGACAGAAAAAGGCAAAAACAGGGGCAACACGTGCTGCAATGCCCAGGAACAATATGATATTGTTCCACACTGATTAAGCAGTGGATCAGTTAAGCAACTATTACACTCTACTTGTCATTCTGGGCCACCTCTCTAATGGGAGCATAAACACCAAATGGAAAGTCACAAATGTCAGGTGATTACTCATGTCACCCATGAGCCTGACTGGACGTGACCTAGTTAGGTCAGACCCAGGTGAGATTCAGATAGACACTACATGCAGCTTTGTGCACAAACTCAAACATGCACATTTGCACGTTCAAATGTACACACACACACACACACACACACACACACACACACACACACACGTAAAAGGGAGCCTGTTGTTACAAAAGCTTAAAAGCTTTACAGCTACTTTCCACACACAAACAAACTGATACAACACCTAAGCACCTTTCCCCACCTCTTTGAATAGTTTAAAACATGACCGATTCTTAGCACATGAATGAATCCATGTTAAGTACCACATGCAAGTACACTTTAAGTATGCATGCTTTGGAAACATGATGTTTCAGTGGCAAATGAAAATTAACTGGATGCGTCACCAGTGTCTGGATAAGATTGCTTTTAGTTTGTGTACTGAATTCATCATACGATCAATATGATTTATTGTTTTGTCGGAGAGAGACTTGAGAGTAATGTAGACGAGACAGAACGAGTGTGAGCAGTGTACAGTAGTGACGTCACGTTTTGTGTTTCGTCATTTGGACAGTGTTGGAAGCTCAAACGTTTTCCAGCAAAAAAAGTAAATGTGTGGCAAATTTAAATACAACACAATGCTAGTGGCTTGAGAGAGTTGCTGTACAGGCAAAAAGCTCATCACCCACACACAGACACAAACACACACACACACACACACACACACACACACACACACACACACACACACACACACACAAACACAAGCCCGGACAATGAAATGAATCAGATCCATACTTTTGATGTGTGCAATTGTAAATACTGTACAAAAGCACACAGCAGGTCCTTTCACTATAGCAGTACAGCTCTCTTATAATCCCTTTCCAAAAACAATCTTCCTCTTTTCTTTAACTTGCATCACGTCAATCTTCTATGTCAACTCCCTCTCCTCTTCTCCCCCATACATATAAGAGTTGTATCCAGGCGGCTGCACATACTCCTCAGACTTATCCCAGTCCGACACCCATCCCGGCCCGGCTCCCCCTCCTCCGGCACCTCCTCCGTTAGAACCAACAACTGGCTGGCTCATGGCCCCGTACTGCCCGCCTCCGCGGTAGAGCTCTTCTGTCTCATTGGCCAGTTCATCCTCACCGATGATACCGCACTTCTCCTCGCTGGTGTCCTCAATGTCCGCCCAAGACTGCTTTTCCCCTGATGCAAAGATTCCTAGTGAGAAAAAATATGATCAGCGTTTAGACTAAAGTCTTCTGCACATGCCTCCCAAAACACAGTGTTCAGAGTCAAGTCATACCATAGAAAATCACTCCTCCATAATGAACGAGGGAAGCTATAAGGAAGACATACTGCCACTCATCACGTGTCTGGAATGACAAAGGTAAAAAGGTGAGTTCAAGAACAAGTTGGCCTAATCTCCCTTTCTGTTTATTTTACATTTTTAAAATTTTAAACGTGGCATTACAAAGTCGATACAAGTGAATGTTTTTTACCTTGTGTTTGGTCATGGCTCCCACTATGAGAGGACACACCATCCCTGATAACGTTCCCACCCCGTTTGAGATTCCCATCAATATGCTGGCATATCGAGGGGCGATGTCTAAGTGATTGACATTAAACCCTGAGTGAAAGAACAAAAACTGTGCGTTAGTTGTTTTTGTATTTAACACTGAAAGGAATAGATTGCCATTTTGAAAAATACGCTTATTCATTTCCTTGCTCAGAGTTAGATGAGCAGATCGATACCACTGTTGTATCTGTACAGTGAATATGGTTAGCTTAGCTTACAGTAAAGACTGGAAACAGGGGGAAACAGTCAGCCTGGCAAAGTGTATAAATGGTGGTTATTTGCTGGCTTATTGCTTTTTATACAGTCTATGGATATTACATGTTAATTAGCGAGGTGTAGAGGTGCTGCACATAACACATAACAGTAGATCTGATAAAATCTCCAACCTGAGATAGCAAATCCACTGAAACCCACAGCGAGGACCAGGAAGGAAATGGCAACACCTTTTGAGTGAGAGTAACCCACCACCAGCAGGAGGGTGGCCTCCATTCCAAAACCTGAAACACGTCCACGTGACAACAAATACAAGAGGGGAGGAATGAGGAACTTTCCACAACTTTATACTCTGGTCATCTGATATACAGAAGTGCATTTATTTTGTTGTAATTTGCTGTTGTTAGAAATGCTGTTCATGTCAACATGATACAAGCTTTGATTTGTGCTAAAATATCAATATGATTCAAGTGCTCTGAATGACAGTTACTGCTGTAAAGTTTTCCGACAAATGTCATGGTCCTTAAATTTCAGGAGAATCATTAACAAACACACCTATTAAATTTTATTTTTTTCAGCAATGCTGCTCACTTTGCTTCGATATTATTAATGTCATTGCACACTGTGTCACCGAACAGAAAGTTTCTTGCTTAGTTTATCAAAGTCTCAAATTTTTCGATGTGCTGCTTTCACTACAGCAAAGGTGACGTGTCATCTTAATTTCTACCTGATGACAAGATGAAGTCAGTTTGGCTTAACTGATGTGCGTGTATCTGGATGTCTGTAAAATATTGCAAACAGTAGTCCAGTTGAGTTTTACTTGTGTGACTAATTTGAGATGTAAAACTCAGGTAATGCAGTGTTATTTAGTTTCTGCTCTTGTATTGTCTTGAGCTTTCTTTCTTCCCCTTCTTTTCATTCCTACTCACCCCCCTCCATCTATCACCCTTTATCACTCTCACCTCCGCAGTTCATGAGCTTCCTGACGTTTGTGGTGGACATCAGGTTGTGGGTCCTCAGGTAGTCTGCCAACTGGCCTCCAATAGGCACGATGATTGTCATCACCAGATGGGGCAAAGCTGACACCATGCCCACCTGGAAGAAGAAAGGGTATGTATGAGAGTGAGAGACTGTGTTATGTGTGTATGAGAAGAGACACGAGAACAGTGTTTTCATTACTAGAGTATTAGAAACAACAAGAGGCTGAAGGTTAAAAAAGATTAAAAATGTCCTGTTTCAGTTTAGTTCCAGATTAGTTTTATAAGCATAGATATTAGCACATCGATCTGGATAAAAGTAAATTTTTATACTGATTGGTGCTCCTTTGACCTGAACTGAGATAATGTGATCTAAATGAAAATATTAATAATGATAATGATGATTTTCAAAGACCATATATACACTATATTGCCCCTGTGAATCGAATTGAATTCAGGTGTTACAATCACCTCCATGACCACAGGTGTATAAAATCAAGCACCTAGGCATGCAGACTGCTTCTACAAACATTTGTGAAAGAATGGGTCGCTCTCCGGAGCTCAGTGAATTCAAGCGTGGTACCATGAAAGGTCGCCGTCTGTGCAAGTCCATTTATGAAATTTCCTCACTACTAAAGATTCCACAGTCAGCTGTTAGTGGTGTTATAACAAAGTGTCAGAGATTGGGAACAACAGAAACTCAGCCACGAAGTGGTAGGCCACATAAAATCACAGAGTGGGGTCAGCATATGCTGAGGCGCACATTGCGCAGAAGTCGGCAACTTTCTGTAGAGTCTATAGCTACAGACCTCCAAATGTTGTGTGGCCTTCGGATTAGCTCAAGAACTGTGCGTAGAGAGCTTCATGGAATGGGTTTCCATTGCAAAGCACGCTGCCACTGGACACTAGAGCAGTGGAGATGTATTCTCTGGAGTGATGAATCACGCTTCTCTGTCTGGCAATCCATTGGATGGGTCTGGGTTTGGTGGTTGCCAGGAGAAAGGTACTTGCCTGACTAACTGTTAATGCTTCAGCATACCAAGACATTTTGGACAATTTCATGCTCCCAACTTTGTGGAAACAGTTTGGGAATGGCCTCTTTCTGTTCCAACACGACTGCGCACAAAGAAAGGTCCATAAAGACATGGATGAGCCAGTTAGATGTGGAGGAACTTGACTGGCCTGCACAGAGTCCTGACCCCAGCTTGACAGAACAACTCTGGGATGAATTAGAGCGGAGACAATGAGCCAGGTCTTCTCGTCCAACATCTGTACCTGACCTCACAAACATGCTTCTGTGTTGTAAGGCAGGCAACCCAAAACTTTTGGCAATATAGTGTATATCAAGTCTGGCAGAGAATGCTTGTTCATGGTTGTTGTCCCCTCTCTCCACATATTTCTAGTCACCTTCACCTTTCTCCTATTAAATTAAAGCAAAAGACTCCCCAAAGTTGTTTGTCTGTTACACCACCCCTCAGACTCTTACTCTGTCTTATTTTTGAATTAAACATGGAAAAGAAGAACAGTTCTACATGCACAAATATCAGTGGGTTACCAGAATCTTCACTCTTTGCAGTGCCTTACAGAGATGAGTCTGGAACTCACACACACATGCAAACCCACACCGCAAAGGGGAATGCTTATATTTTCCAACCTGTGTCTTATTTTCTTAATTGTTGCTGTTCTGACTGTGGGTCATAATAATGTTGTACTTTTCAACTCCACTGTAGGGATTCGTAAACATGACATGGCAAAGAATTGTGCAGCAAGCCTCCTAAAGCTAATGCTACATTTTACTGGTTGAGGTGATGAGTACAAAGTTATTATGAGCAATAATCACAAAAGCAAAAATTATGAGTGTAAGAGGCTGAAAAATACCAGAATTCCCCTTTAACTTTGGTTAAAGTGCCCTTCAGCAAAACCCTAACACCTATACTTTCCAGTAAAGTAGGTGACATAGCTGTGTCCAGTTGTGAACATATAAGGACATTTTCTGGAAAAACTATAGCTTCTGTAAATAAAGTCTAGCTTTACAGATCGATATACTCTCACCTTGCTGATCTCAAAGCCAAAGACTTCTTCAAAGTAGGCCGGTTGGCTGATGAGCAGCAGATAGAAGGTCCAGCTCCTGCAGAAGTTGGCCACGATGATGGCGTAGACTGGCATGGAGGTGAAGAAGTGTCTCCATGGGGTTTTAAATTTCTGCCACCAAAAGGAATAAGATATTACAGGGATCCAGAGACTTCACTGAGATGGATCAGTAACTAGAGAGCCAGCTGAGTGTGTGTGTTAACATATACATCCACGCTATCTGTGTCTGTGTGTAGGTCTAAGAGATTCTCAGTGTGATTAATAGGCTACACATGAATAACATATAGGGCCATACATGGAGTGGATTAAGAAATGACGCAGACTCTCCGATTGCATCCTCAATGTACTTCCTCTCCTCTGGTGTGATGGTGGGATGGGCTGCGGGACTCTCATATGACACCAGAATCCAGAACATATACCAGAATATCCCAAAGCTGCCTGGGAGAGGAAGAGAGAGAGTGAAAGCCACAGACATGGTTACGGTAGAGAAAGAGCAAAGAGAGCTAGATGTAAAAGGTACAGTAGTGAGAGAGAAAGAAAGTAAATGAGAAGTAACTACTCAGACTTCCTTCCAGGCTGCCGTTAAGGTTGTGAAGTTCAACTTTACAAGCTTTACAATAGCAGTAGTAGGCTGGGAGGAAATTTGGGGCTCGGGACATGCTGTTGAATGATAACATTGCAAAACATGAAAGCCCCTAACCTTACACTTAAAGATTTTGAAGGTAAAATCAAATCACAAAAATAAATCCTTGAGACTCACATAAAAGCTCCGCCCATTCAGTCTTGATTGTGAGCGACAGAAACACACAGTTCATGGATATGGAAACATTTGCATTTGAGTTCAAGCATGTATTAATGTATTACTTTACTGAACAGTCATAGTACTGTAAGCGAAACAATACTAACCATAGACATAGAATACTGAAGGCCACCCAATGTATTGCACCAGTATCCCAGCTAAAGGCATGGCCACCACCGCCCCTGCATAGGATCCTGAGAACACATCATAACATAAAGAAAAGCAACAAATTATTAATTTGTCCGTATTATCATAGAATCATTTCTGCGCTCAAAATGTTGTATATATATTGTTATTAAGTGGCCATGGAAATTCACATGTCCAGTACTTTTACCCTCTTATACTTTGAAGGAACCTCTGGTGCCTCCATCTTCACAACCTCATGTTCAAACTCACAGAACTTAAGGATATCCCAAAGTTTCTGCAGATACCAAAATATTGGAAAATGTGTCAGTAAGGCGTGAAACTTTACCACAAAAGGCTGTTGTGGCTAATCGACTTCTCTCAAGAGGAGGCGCCCACTTGGCCCAGATTCCGTGGCAGGCTGGGTATGATACACCCTGAAGGATACAATACAGTCAGCGAAACACTCATGCATATAGGAACAATCTTCCACAGAGTCCTGCAAGCGTACCCCCCACACACACACACACACACAAACAGTACCTCAACAAGGCCCTGGCATATCCTGACCAGTATGACGCAGCTGTAGTGGCAGCGAGCTGCAGATGGAATCAGCATGTTGAGGGTGGATGTGGCCACGATGGCAAAGCCAAACACTCTTAAACACACAAAAGACAAAAAAAGCCACCTCAGATCGGATTCAACAGTAACAACAACAGCACAAGAATAACAACAAACGCTCCACTGATAAAGGATGAAGCTTCATGGTTGTGGTCTTATATCACTGGAGTTTTTCAGAATTGTTGTATGGTTTGATACAACTCAATGTTTGGGAGATGTATCCAAGAAAGAGCAAAATCATTCTTTTTTCATCAATCATATCCAGCACAATTACCCAACTGTTACAACTAACAACTAACTTATAGTAGACCAGATTACAGTAATGCCCATATTGGAAAATATATTGTAAATGTGAAGACATTCACCTGTTGGCTGCAAATTTCCGACATATAAAGCCCCCGGGGATCTGTGTGACGATGTAGCCCCAGAAGAAGGAGCCGTGGATCATCCCCACTGTCTCAGGGTCCCAGGTGAACTGCGCAGCCTGGAGAAAAGAATATATATGATTTTAACTTAATTTAATTTGAAATGTACTCTAACACAGAGGAGATCACTGTCATCTGAACTTCACAAAGTAATATACTAAAAGGGTAGTCAAATATAAACACATTTGTCTACCCAAGCATGACACCCATCTAATTTATTTTGATGTATTCTCAGCTTGCTTTATAAATTTGGTCAATCTGTGGTTATAATAATACATTAAAAAAAGCTTTTAAGTTCCAAAAAGTTGTGATTAAGAAAAAGGTGGCACAAATTTACAAAATATGCTTATGTTCACTTTATGAAGTGAGGCCTGAGATCAGTGTGTAACAAAATCTTTAGTGGCATTAATCAAGTCCAATAAAGCAGGCCATACAGAAACAGAAACAAATCCTAAATACAATTTGATATATGTGAAGCTTGTATAATAATGCAATCCTTGTCAAAGATAGCTGGATACAGTAAAGTTTGGTTCAAGAGCTTTGATTTTAGTTTTGCCACTTACCACAAGTACTTCCTTGTTGCCTTTGTAGACAGTGTGGTCATTGACCATGCTAACAATGGCAACACCCAGGTTACACCGGATGCCAAAAGAGATGCAGAATCCCAGGCCAGACAGGATGGCGATGATGTACCGTCTCGGCAAGCCAAAGCAGGTACAGTCCACCACCGGCATCTCCTTCTCCTCCACCAGCTCAGGACGGCCCTCCGCTGATAACTCAATGGTTTCTCCATTGGGCTGCCGCTTCTCAATTAGCCTGAGGTGAGACACAGAGAGAGCGTGCAGGAAAGGAGACCTATGAGGCAGCCTCTGCGCTTACACAAAATATTGTGGATCCAAAGGCTTCCAGAGATTTCTAAGGCTTTAGTGAATTATTTCTAAAATTGTACACAACAAAATTCCATTTGAAACATATTGGATTTAGAAGTTTGCAATGATGGGCCCACTCGTAAGTCAAACACAGTTTAACAGGTTAACAGTTAGGTTATCTTTATAAAACTTTACACAGCGTGCTTGGGATGAACTGCTCCAGAGTAATACTGCAAGAATATATTATGGAGATAATTGTGTTTGTTGTCCATTTATGTTTTGTTGATACGTGCAAATGATTCAGCAGTAATACCTGCTCATTTACAGAATCTCACAAAAGTGAATACACCCCTCACGTTTTGTTTGATTATATATTTTCATGTGACAAAACTGAAGAAATGACACTTTGCTACGATGTCAAGTAGTGAGTGTACAGCTTGTATAACAGTGTAAATTTGCTGTCCCCTCAAAATAACACATCACACAGCCATTTATGTCTAAATCTCTGGCAACAAAAATGAGTACACCCCTAAGTGAAAATGTCCAAACTGGACCCAGTTAGCCATTTTCCCTCCCCGGCATCATGTGACTCATAGTGTTACAACTCTCAGCTGTGAATGGGGAGCAGGTGTGTTAAATTTGGTGTCATCGCTCTCACACTCACTTGTACTGGTCACTGGAAGTTCAACATGGCACCTCATGGCATATAACTCTCTGAGAATCTGAAAAAAAGAATTGTTGCTCTACATAAAGATGGCTTAGGCTATAAGAAGATTGCCAAGACCCTGAAACTGAGCTGCAGCACGGTGGCCAAGACTATACAGCGGTTCAACAAGACAAGTTCTCTCGTTGTCTTTGGGAAATAGATGTCAGTGCTCAGACCACACGCTGCACACTGCATCAAATTGGTCTGCATGGCTGTCCTCCCAGAAGGAAGCCTCTTCTAAAGATGATGCACATGAAAGCCCGCAAACAGTTTGCTGAAGACAAGCAGACTGTGGACATGGATTACTGGAACCATGTCCTGTGTCCAAGATAAACTTATTTGGTTATCATGAGTGCTGCCGGCACTGGGGAGCTACAGTTCATTGAGGGAACCATGAACGCCAACATGTACTGTGACATACTGAAGCAGAGCATGATCCCCTCCCTTCGGAGACTGGGCTGCAGGGCAGTATTCCAACATGATAACAACCCCAAACACACCTCTAAGACGACCACTGCCTTGCTAAAGAAGCTGAGGGTAAAGGTGATGGACTGTCCGAGCATGTCTGCAGACCTAAACCCTATTGAGCATCTGTGGGGCATCTTCAAACGGAAGGTGGAGGAGCACAAGGTCTCTAACATCCACCAGCTACGTGATGTCATCATGGAGGAGTGGAAGAGGACTCCAGTGGCAACCTGTGAGGCTCTGGTGAACTCCATGCCCAAGTGGGTTAAGGCAGTGCTGGAAAATAATGGTGGCCACACAAAATACTTTGGGCCCAATTAGGACATTTTAATTTAGTGGTGTAGTCCCTTTTGTTGCCAGCAGTTTAGACATTAATGGCTGTGTGATGTGTTATTTTGAGGGGACAGCAAATTTACACTGTTGTACAAGCAGTACACTCACTACTTTACATTTTTTTGCAAAGTGTCATTTCTTCAGTGTTGTTACATGAAAATATATAATCAAACAAAACGTGAGGGGTGTACTCACTTTTGTGAGATTCTGTAAATGAGCAGGTATTACTGCTGAATCATTTGCACGTATCAACGAAACATAAATGGACAACAAGATATAATCAAATATTTACAAACATGTGAAGGATGTACTCACTTTTGTGAGATAATGTAAGTACTTAAAAGGTAATTTCGGTGTTGTGTTGGAGTAACTTTAGGAAATAAAGTCTTGCTAGCAGTTCCTCTTTGTGCACAACAAACCAACTCCAGAATACGAAAAAAAAGCCCATTAAATTAAAAAAACAGACAGGAACACAGAGAGACATTCCTAATGAAAAGAGGGAGAGGTGACAGTGAGGATACTGATGCACGCCTTCGCTAAGGGACAAAATTACATAACATGGAAACAGTGGCTGAAAGAGGGATTTCCTGGGAGCATCGGGAACAGGACAGGTCAAAAGCTTGAAATGCGGGAAACATGGTGGCACGTTGTCAGTAGACATCTTTGAGCAAAACAATGATCTAAGTCTTCTCTTAATGTTTCATGCACACCTTGACAACATGGCTCTCACTGAGTGTTTATCAGTGTGGAGCAATTAAAAAAAATATGTTACTGCTTTCCATAGACTCTCTCTCTCTCACACACGCTCTCTCTCTCTCTCTCACACACACACACACACACACACACACACACACACACACCTCCATGCAGAGACAACACGAACCATATTGGGGTTATGTCTGACTCAGCTTGCCCCGTGTGGAAGCAGCTGTCACTAGCCGAGGAGCAGCACCAGCCACGACAGCACATCCCACCAGTGTCTGCTCCTTCAGGAGTCAGGATGCCTGGGACCTTCTGCTCTATATTGGTGTTGTTCAAGATGTCCGAGAGACACAAGCAGGAGCTCTCTGGAGACCGAAATCTAACCACATCATATTACTAAATGGACAGGCTCGTGTGTTTGTACTGTGATGCTATTCAGGTGGAGTAAGTGCACAGACAGATGAAAAAAGAGAGATTATTAGTAAGTATTAAGTAGAAAAAGGCATGCATTTTGGTATTATGGATGGCCTGCTTAAAATATGCAATATGCTGATTAACTGAAAAGGACATTTTGTAAAAAAAAGCAGAAGCGCTGACATGTTTACAAATCAGTGTAATCAATATTTGAAGTGTTATTTTCAAAAATCTATATATTTTTTAATTTTCTTACTAATACATTTTTTCTTGCCAACCAAGAAACTCCTGCATTTACTTTAAAATTATGTAAGTGAATAATCAGATTTTCTTAGAAGAGACCAAAATTTGTTGTTATTTCAGGCTGTTACTCAGTTTGACGCTCGGCATTCGACCCATTTTTGTCGAATGCCGAGCGTCACTTTTTTCCACAGAAGTCAAACAGAGAAGTCAGGAGAGTGGCCATCTGTATATTACAATGTCCATACTCTCAACTACACCCCCCACACACACACACTGTTAAACACATACATGCATACCGCAGACTTAAAGACATGCTTTCTGCAGATACGCTTTTTTCAGATTAATTGCGACATAGTGCCACACTTTCCAGCGTATAGTTGCTTTAACCTGAGTATGTGTGTGTTTTAAGCATGTGTGAGTTCACAGTGAATTGCAGTTGTGTGTCAGATGTCCAATTTCCACTGGGTTGATCCAGTTAGTCAGTGAGCTGGAGAATTATGTACAGAAACGGGCACAATCACCACAAAGATTCATTCCATGTGGTGAGGACGGTTGCATTTTTGAAAAGTTGTTTCAAATCTGAGCTTCAATAAGTTCCTCAAAAACAAGTGTTTACTACATTGTGAACGCTGCTCTGTTTTTCAATCAAACATTTAAGACAATTCATCTCTCTCTGGCTCTCGGCAACTCCAAGATAACTCATTCACACACTCTAACGCAAGACAAGCCACACTCTGGCACTGGTTAATTATTGATGTGTTTTTGGATGAGATAAATTATTCACTCTAGCTTTTCCACCATAAAATGTCACTATCTATTTATCTGTTGGCCTGTCTGTCTGCATCTCTGCATATACACTCTGTTGCATCCATCCAGTCGTTATATTTCTAATGTATGCATGTGGAATTTATTCCCTCCCCCATTTCCACACATCAGACTCTGCCTAATCTCTTTATACATCCCTGCAATACGTCAATAGACAGAAAAGAAAAAACATATGGCAGTACAATGATGTATAAATTAAACCTGGGTCCACAGTGAGATATTCTGCTTGTCAAGTAAAACATAAAGACAACAGAAAAGTAGTATTTTTGAGCCACGTTTTGGAATTTATAAGAGATTAGAGAGGATGCATCCTCTCTCTCTCTCTCTCTCCATCTCTCTCTTTCTCTCTTAATCTGTCACAACGTTCAGATTAGGATTACAAAAATGATTTACTTCCGGAAATGAATATGGTGGGACAGACTAGCGCTGGGTGTGGTTCAGCATGCTTCCTCCTCCATCACGACACACTACTGAATTCATGCTGGCCTTTGATTAAACTTTTTTAGTCCTTTAAAAGATCTGATTGCTTCAACTTAACATGCAGTTATTTTATTCTTCTAGTAAACATTGAGATGATGTCTAAAATCTCCAGTTTCAGACATCTGTTACAAACACATGATATTTTTTTGTACAGAGCTGGGTAAACAGTCAGTTTCTCTTAGAAATGACCTGTTTGACTGACTGAGTGGTGTGAACAAAAGGACTAACTTCATTCTTGTTTCAGCTACATCACATGAGATATCTTTGGTGGAAGGCGCCCTGGCCAAGGAGCCTTAATATGTCCACCACAGTGCAATGTATGTTGTTCAAAAAGCTGATGAGTCATTGGCTGCACTCACACTGCTATGCTCTCCACACTAACCTGAATGGAGATCAGTATCCTACTTCAGAGTTAGTGAAGGTTGCAGGAGCATCCTCATTAAACCTCACAACAGATTGCAGCCTGACACCTACACATACGCTATCAGCTAACGAGGACAGCCCACAGCAAGAATTACCTTTAATTACAGATGCTTCCCACTAAAGGGCAATCTCACCCTAGTTCAGTGTAAATGTCTCAAAATAGCTGACTATCTGAGGGTCTCCTTCTTTTAATGTGGTGTTTTAATGTGGCAGAGGAAGAGTTTTCTGGTACTTTCAGTTCACAAACAAATCTTGACATAAATCAGCATCTGTCAGCATGTTTGCCTGCTAGCACAAGACATCTTTCATGTTGGTTGGTAAAAACTGCTTTATCTCTGAGGAAGTACAGGTTTGAG